GTCATTAGACCGCTGGAGCGGAGAGAAGCTGCACGGGCCAGTATAGCAGCCAGGCGGGACCGAGGTTATTTTAGACCCTAGACCCAAAAATGGCCAATTAACTCTTGCAGTGAGGGGAAGCCCCACTGCACCGGTTAAGTTTTATTCTGCCCAGAGTTCTCCTTTACATTTCATGGTAAGCCCAAGACCTTTAAACCAATGCATTTCAAATTATATTTATATCTTCTTAAAGACTAACTTTACCCATATCTTCAAAATAACAAAAAACACACCTTTAGAAATGTAGTATACGAACAGTATTTTCTACTTACCACTGCAAAGATAAGCCTTCTCCATAGGCCAGATATTGGAACTGCAATGTTCACAGGACTGCCCAATGCTTACTTGGGAGCTCATAAATACATGTCCATGGGATTCAACCTGCAAATAAAGAGTGCAAAAGAGTTATATGGATGCCTGAAATGCAATGCATGTATCTTTCTTTTAAAGACTTTGATACTGATGTTTCAACTTAAAGTGACATTAAAAAGGCAAAAAATGTTTTCCCTCCCCCCAATGTAAATGTCAGCACTTACCTTAAATGATGTCTCTTAATCCGATCATCTTCTTCTTTCCTGATGTTTTCATCTGTCCCTCCAGCGGTGCGGCGGCTCTCCGATCCAGCGCTGACTCCTCTGTCCTTGCAGGCACTTCCGATCCCGCGGCGTCGGCATGTGGGTGCACGCGTCCATATACTTACCTTACGTCTCTCCTCCCGTCCCAGCGAAAATCCGAACTGCACATGCGCCCGCCCCAAGATGCTTTGCGGCCGCCAGAGCAGTTTCGGATTCTCGGACAGGAGCGTGCGGCGAAGACAGGGTTAGTTTAAACTGCTGTTAAAGTGTTTTTAAAAAAAAAATTTTTGCCTATATCTACTGCTTGCTAGCAGTAGATATAGGAAAAAAAAACAGAGTTTAGAAACCCTTTAAAACAGAAAGTGCGAAATTTGTGACACAGTAAGAATTATAGATAACACAATAATACTAGTTATCCCTCCATGACAAAAAGTCTGATAGTTTGACACACTCCTCCATTCTCAGGAACTCAGGAACCTGCTGCTCATCTTTGGCAAATAAACAATGAATGAACAGCTTGTAAAATATTAAACGTGAATATGCCCTTAAAGAAGGACTCCAGGCATTGGACAACACTGGATGGACATTCCACTGCCAGCCAGACGAGACAGAGTTTCAGGTAAGTATATCTTTGTTATTTTAGACCCTAGATGATAACGAGCACTTAACCCTTGTAGTGCGGGGGTAGCCCCACAGCAAGGGTTAAGTTTTATTCTGACTGGAGTTCTTTAAATTACTATTAGAAAGTTTGTATTCAAACAGAAGGTAGCTTACATTTTGATCCTGTTTCCTTTTCTTCTTCTGAGATTTTCTCTGCTGAACAAACAAACATACTCAATTAATAGCAACTGAGACAGGATTTAAAAAAAGCCTCCTTGCGTAATGTTCTTTACCATTTGCAATGTCATTGTTATGTTAAAAATACAGTAATCATCTTTCTCCTGAGTTCATATTTTAGGATAATATCCCGCCCAAGTTCCTAAAATACAATGCACGCACACTTCCAAAGTATTAATAAAGTGCTAGGAATTGAAAGGAAATTACATATTTTAGTTAAGAAGATATAAGATGCACATCTATCATTTACATATTATCAATTGGGTAAAATAAACAATAAAGAAGATTATAAAGAGGTGTGAATGGTTTTGTTATACCAGACTTTTACTCATGGATTCATAGATCAACATTCCATGCTGTATACTTATGCTTTTAATGTAGAACTCTGGCTTTAAAAAAAAAAAAAAAAATTATAGGGATGCACCGATATATGGGTCGAAAATAGCTCTTTTGGGGAAATGCCAAAACAAAAAATTTGCCCATAATGACCCAGAGAGAGTCACTCACTGATTATAGTGTGCATTCAGAGGACGCCTAGTATTTTCCTCAAATACTAGGCATTCCCTGATTGGATGAGGGGCAGTGACACCACAGTGCATTGCAGGATTCCCATAGACCTGGCTGGGATCAATGTGTGTATATAATTGGGTAGATGTGCACCGAAATGGAAAACTTCAAAAAATCGAAACTGTCGGTCAGTAGAGGAGCGGACCTGAAGGAAAACTTAAGCAGAGCAAGCAGAAGCAGCAGAGCGGCCAGCGGGAGATGGTGTGGTATGATTGGGGTGGTCTTAGGAATGGGGTGATGTGGGGGAGCGGAGTTACTGCAGCAGATGTCCGGGCCAGAACCAAGTAAAAGACAGCTGACGATCGTAAGATTATGCCGCCGGGAGCTGAATGTAAGCGCGGCAACCAACAAGACTCTGTCAAACGAACAGGCAGAGGTGGATGTACCTCTGACATCTATCCCTTGGATACCACCAATTAACCGAAAAAATGCTGGAAGAGTTCTCTGGTTATTTCCTCAATAATAAAAATATGGGATGCACTGGTCAGGAGGGGTGGGATATCAACATATGTGGGCCCACTAACACCTGTGTTGGGGAACCCAGACTTTCCCTTTGGTTTTAAGAGTAGAAGATTCTTGATTTGGGAGACCACTAGACACTCTCCAATAATACAAGCCATAACAGAGAAAGGACTACGTCCACTCTTAGTTACTTCCCATGAACCAGCCAAATAAGGGTAAATGGCTGGAATACTTTCAACTAAAACACTTCTTCACAGCCCTTAGCGCACAAGATAGTGTGTTTAGAGACCTATCTCCATTCAAGGATATATGTTTAAATAAAGCAGGAGACAGACATATGGTATCCAAGCTATATAATATATTACTATCACAGATGTATCCAGCATCTCCGTTTTATACTAAAGCATGGGAACGAGAACTGGGACATGTAATCACATTGGAGGAGTGGAAGAAGATTTTCCTTTTAACCTTTAACCACTTGCCGTCCGCCCGTTGTAAAAAAACGGACGGACGGCACTGCAGCATTGGTGGATTGCCGTCTCCAGACGGCATTTTTTTTCCCCTGGCGGGCGCGCACGGCCAGTGAAGACCCGACCAATGCAAACACCCGTTACCGGGTGTTTCACATATAGACGGTCGGCGGCACCATAGCCCGCCGATCGTCTATATGTGCTCGTTTTTTGCCCCACTCCCCCCTGACCCCTCACCTTGAGTCCCGGGATCCGCTGCCCCATCTGCGGCCCGGGACCGGCTCGGAGGGCGTCAGGAGGAAGAGGACGGGAGATCAGCTCCTTGCTGACCTCCCTCCGAGCTGTGAATGCAGAAGTGATGTGTGTTACATACATCTGGTATAGATGCCCATTAAATCCCTGAGGTCACTCTGTTGTCACTACACCATGGTTCGATTTCAGTATTGAAAAAAGGACTTTTGGGTCCGATACTGGCAGCCGCAAGGACAGTAATACCAAGACATTGTAAGTCAACTAGCCCCCCTCAGATCTCGGAATTGGTAGTGGAATTAAATAACATTATGCAACTTGAAGAGCTCACAGCCCAGCTATACCACAGACATACATTGTTTATAGAGAGGTGGAGACCATGGAGGGATTATCTTGGCCCATCAGTGATCCTTAGACATCTATAGTGGACACAGGAAGTGAGGAAAAGAGAAAGAAGAAGGGGAAAAAGGTAGGGAGAAAGTAGTAAGATTCTGATCTGCTAAGTAAAACCCTCAATGACTAGACCTATATTAAATACCTCCCTGAATTAGGATTATGTGAGTTTATCTTTTTTGGGAGGGGGGGGTGAATGGGAATAGAGATGTGAGATGTTTTCATGATTTATGGTAATATATATGTGGATGTAATGATATGAAGGAGTCATTGTATGAATTACTTTTTCATTAGGTTGATTGAATTGTTTTTGTTTCTTGTCTTTTTTGTGTTTATTGTAGTTTGTGGAACTGATAAAAATCAATAAAAATATATTTTGGAAAAAAAAAATTTTGGGCTGCATTATTGGTCAAATTTTATATGCAATAAATATTTTATTCAAAACCAGGAAAGGACAAGCTCATTATTTCTAGTATGTATGCGTAATAACAGGTTGCCCATTAAGATGAATAGAATATTAACCTTGTGTGGTTCGCCGTCATCCCTCTTTGAGTATCCGCGTGTAAACTCATCCAAAAAGGACTGGAAGAGGTTAAGGACAAGCTTCACATCCTTCTCGTTTCTTTCTTTGTTTAGGTTGTTTACAAGAAGCTGGAAATTATCCATAAGATCTTTGTAGCTAGCATGAAAGTGCCCTTTCTGAAAAGAAACAAGTTACATATATAAAATGGCTTAAACAGGTAGGTACCATATTTGTTTCTACCTTGGTGTAACTGGCCCTCTAGCACCATTTACTGCAGGTGAATCAATCACTGTAATTTAAAAACCCACACCAGGAATATACACCTGCAGTGAATGTTTGGTCAATGTCACATTCACTGCTTTATAAAGATCATCAATTTTACAACTCGAAATTTAGGATAGTTCATTCAATTGTGGTGGCTGTGCTTTGAAGTGCTTTTGGGAGGTATACAACTTACTGGAGAAGAGTACATTAACTTGAGATTTTCTCTGAACATTTCCATTGCTTTGTAGAGTAGACCTTCAATAGCTGTTTTATCTTGATGTAGGGTGTTAAGCTGAGAAGAAAAAGAGAATACATTAGATCAGGGGTGCCCACAATTTTTCATCTGGAGATCTACTTTTCAAATGACGAGCTCAATGAGATCTACCAGAGAAAAATCACCATAATTTAGAAAACACATTAAAATTGCTACTGGGACTACTCCCGCCCTCTCACTGGGCCGGTTCAAAAAAGAAATGCTTTTCATCTGCAGTCTTCTGTTATGGGGACTGGTCACAACCAAAGCCTATCCACCAGCCATCCAATGTAGTTCTCAATAGGCAGTAGCAGTAAACTAATACTGCTGGTATTGCTGATCTCTATCCACACTGCACCCCTTTCCCACCATCCCCCCTAAACCAGCCACCCTTCATACACCCCCTGCTGTATTTATTGGCAGGATCAACAGAATGTTTAGCAGAGAGCACTGCACAAAACAATTTTAAAGCCTGTTGCCGCATACAGTGTTGCAGAGAAATGTGTTTTAGGAATGTACACACGTGCAAGTTTGATCTATCAGTAACCATAGATTCATTTGTACGAGTACATTACCTTAGCAAACAAGAAGTCATCAAGGTGTTTCAGTTCAGTAGAGTTGGTGATCTCTCGGCACAAGGATGCATTCCATGTTTCAGACACAGTGGCAGCTTTACCAATTTTAATTGATCGATTCCTTCGAATTTTACTCTGTGGCTCTGTTGGAGATGGACGACCAGATTGCCCTGTGACAGCTGAACCTTTAATACAGGAATGTCATTAAATAGTAATATTCTACTTACTAGACACAGAGTTCAAAAAATACTAAAACTTTAAAACATATCTATAACTATGGTCCAGAGATGGTGTGTCCAACCTACAGGAAGTAACCGTATGTTGAATGCCACAATGTTTTGATCTGTCACATTTGCAGAGAGGGCCCCTGAAAATTCACCTGTTTACCACAACATGCTTGCTGGAGATAATGAAGCTCTGCTGTCTGCCCCACCTTCACTCACTACAGGGATCACAGGGAAAAGGAGGTAGCAGTTTGTGAAATAATGTATTTATCTGCATTTCAGTGCAAATGTGACTGCAAATATGCATACAGATTAGAACCTCCTTAGAGGGTACACAGGTGGAACCTGTCTTATTTCAACGTTAGAGATCTACGGCCTGGTGTTTGGTTTGCTACTGACATGTGTGCCATCATACCAAGATCAGTAGAAACATCGAAGACCCTAAGTGAGTTGTGGTTGCCTATGAGTTTGTTTCTATAAAAATCTAATTTTTGTCTCATATATGTTGAAAAAGTCAACAATTTTCACGGAGTCTACTTAATTTTTTACATGACTGGAGGTATATATACATGCACATGTAGTACAGGTAAGCATGCATGGTGCAGACTTTGCATGCATGTCAGCCATTATATGTGTACCACTGGGTTCATTTTGCAAACAAGGTAAGCTTATACAGTGCAACTCCTAATACATACCATCTACAGAACGTTTTGTTGCTGAAGGTTCTTGGGTCAAGTGTGGGAAAGATAGCTGTTCTGTGCACTCTGGAGTGAGTGGTCCATCTTTACTGTTCTTTTTGTCAGGCTTCATTCCCAAAAGCCTGTATAGGGGGCTCTTGTAAGTATGCCTGTGTGGCAAGAAAGGTATTTTCTTTTACTGTTAATATAAAAAGTTACTAATCTAATCAGGTGCAGTGATATACGTCATTAGTCCGTAAAACCATATGATCTCTCTCTGGCAACACTCACTTGTCTGTGGAATGTGCAGTGCAGTCTGGGTGAGCCTTGTTTTCACTGGATTTCTTTTTCTGAAGAATAGGCTTAATTTGTTCCTTATCAGTGTCAACTGACATAGGCGGTGGCTGCACAAGAGATATTACAATGTCAGAACAGATATTATGAAGGTAAACTTGCAGGTTAGGGCAAACCTATTATGTAAAACTGAATACGTAATAGGTGACTGTGGGGATTTACAATTTATAGACAATAGTTCTTTATTATGTTTGAGACTAACACTTTTTTTTTTTAAATAATCAGGTAAATAAATAATATTTGTTGTAAATTTGTTTCCAATCAACAGGCGGAGACAGTTTACCTATCTATTCTTAGTAAGCAATAGCTTAAAGAGTTATTAAACCCTCACATGTTTTTGCATATATTTATTGCTAGCAAGCAAGCAAGGCAAGTCTATGGAGCAGCTTGCACCCGCACAGACTCCGTGGGACATGAGAGAAGAGGAGGACAGAGGAGTCAGCTCTGGATCGGAGACCCAGACCAGCGCTGGAGGGACAGCTAAAAACAACACTAAAGAAGAAGATGATCGGATTAAGAGACATCATTTAAGTTAAATCCTTACTTTAGCATTGTGGGGAAGGGGGAGGGGGCTTTAGCCTTTAATGTCACTTTAAGCTTCAAGCTCAGATTGTTCAGAAAGGGTCTCTAAACTATTCATAATGGAAGAAATCCGCGTACATTCGTTCGCTGTGAATGGAGGCAAAAGGGACCGTTCTTGGACATTTTCTTTCCAAGTCAAATATAATATTAGGAATATACTGCATTATGGCCACTAGGAAATAAGTATTTCCTATGCTCCTTTAATGAACAACCTTTATGGGGACACAGACAGAACTAAAAGACTAATAAAAGTTCAAAAACTTTCTTACACAGGAAATTGTGGTTATTATTGTTGTCTGTGTTCCTGTTAGGGAGCTTTCCCCTCACTTTCTATTTTGTCTGACAATCAAGAAATAAAACAGAAAGGAAGGAGAAATCTCCAAAATGGAGACAAGGTTCTAACCATTTTACCCTCTACCCAAAACAAACACAGTTTTTTTCTTTAATTGGCCTTTGGAGTCCCTCCTGAGACAACCATGATATGGAGCTCTGGCCTCCATTTTGTTGACTTGTTCCAGTTTGATAAACATGCCAAGAATCTGGTTTTATTAGCCACATTATCAAAGTCTCTAGGCTAGCGGTGGAGTCCTAATTGCGACTGGAACCCTAATGCACCTTGCCAATGGACGTGCGAGAAAGACGACATACCCAGATCGGCTTATTTTGGAGAAGATCAGCAGCAATTAGGTTAAAAAATAACTTATGCAGAATACTGTTTCCCTGTCCTGACATTAAGCAACATCTGTTGAGATCTGCTAACAGCTCTTGGCTCAGCAACATTGTGCAATAATCATCGCTCCTATACAAGTATATTATAGCACACTAAAGCTGCATAAACTGTGATAGAACAATGCTCCTTTATTGTATGTCTGCATATGGTAGCAGAATATATGCACCTTACTTTAACTTTGTACACTGAATATATATTGTGACTTGTGTCGGCTTCAGTTGCCTTTCCCTTTATTTTTCTGTTTACAGGACCCATCTATACGTTTTGCTCTCAATGCTCTATCTGAAATATTCACCGTCACTACTCTCCAGTACATATGTGGGAACCCCACAAGGCTACCATTAAAGGCTGTATTATTCAAGTAGCTTCCCAGCGGAAGAAAGGCTGAATAAACTTTTAGATCTCAAACAAGCTTTCATTACTCTCTGAGGACAATTTAAATCTACCCTCACCCCTTAGATTATGACCAAGCTCGTGCATGCCTGCTGTGACCGAAACCTCTGCTTCACTAACTTTGCATATAAACATCTTCATTGCACTACACTCCATTTTTACCTTAGAGGCAATACATCCGACACCATGTTTGTCCCCAAACTTGAACGCCCTACCCCTGTAACATAAGCTTATCTGACCTAATACCGATGCACGCCAATTAACATGGAGCCCCCCCCCCTTAAAGATCACCCACATTTTTCAAAAACACCTGTCTTTAATCTTCTCAACAATTCATCATAAAAAAAGGCGAAAGCCCAGTTTTTCACCATTGCTGTTCCTCAGGTCTCTGAAGACCTTCGATCCCTGCACCATACAGAAATGACATTGCTAGCAAGTACAAGCTGCCATCAAAGTTAACACAAACTTAACTAACCACCAGGTCTGGACAACTCTGCTGCGTCCTACTATAGAAGTTGATTTTTTAAAGCCTAAAATTGGTCTGTGTTCTTAATAGTTGGCAATGATTAACATGCTCACCAAACCAGCTACAGATGACACACCGACTAGTCTAATTACAGATCCATATTGTTCATTTACTTAGATGTCAAAATGTTGGACAAAATCCTTTTTACTCCCTTAAAAATACAGGTATCCATAATATAAAATCTAAAGATTATGTGGAATTTATGCTGCGGGGACAAACTTGCAATAATGTTCAACAAATTGCTATGCCTTATTGAAATTACAAAACTTTTAATTTAATGGTTTAAAAGCGGAAGAATGCCAGGAATTTTTGTTTATTAACCTTTGCAGTGGGGCTACCCCTGCACTGCAAGGGTTAATTGCTCGTCTGTGTCTAGGTGCTAAAACAACAAAATTATAAAATCGCCCCGAAGCTCTGAGCCAGCCAGCTGTCACAGTGCTCCCTCCAGCCCGTCTCCTCCTCCCTGCAGCATTGGAATCTTCTTCAGCTTCCTCACATCTATACACAGTGTATAGACATGATGATTTACAGGACCTTAGACCGCTGCATAGGAGGGGGAGAGATGTTGAAAGGACCCATCTCAGAACAAGCCAGCTCAGAGCTTCGGGTGAGTCTAACTTTTTAGGCCTTTGCACAGAAATCGTTAATAAAAAAAATTCCTGGAGATCTTCTTTAAAAACCGGACTCCAGTCTCAAGAATATTTTTCCTTTACTGGTTTGAGGTAAGCACCCAAGAAATAAAAACACAAATTACTGTGTGCAGAGAGCCCAGTTTGGGCAGCAGGCATTTAGACAATGACTGACCTGAGGAATACTGGGAGACTGTGTATCCTTTGAAGCTTGTATTGTTCCAACAATTGCCTTTCCCCTATTAAAAGAAAAAAATAAACATATGCCAAGATTTAGAACTGTAACAACTTAAAAGTGCGGCATTAAAGCACCTTCACCCATTTCTATAATTAACTAAACTAACCTGCCTGCTCCCACCTCCACAAAAATTGCAAGACTTTTTTGATTGCATATACATTTTCATTTACCTAATCTTCACCTAGGTGAGGATGACAGACACCCACCACTACCTCCTGGAATATGTACGTCACAGTTTTTGAGATCTTGCTTTTTTGCAGGTCCCCAACAGAGACCCGCAACATGTCTGTGCATGCGTTGAATTTGCACATGGGTACACTGCAGCAGTCTATGGGACCTGGCAGAGATACCCAGTGTATCTGCACATGCGGCAAATTTCTCTCAAAATGGCAGCATGGGACCTGGTGTGCGGTGGGGCGGGGATCAGTGGATAAGAGCAGAACAATGCTGGTGTTGCTAAATCGGCAAGTAAAGTATGCTATCTGAGATCAACATACTGCACAAGATATGGGGGGGTAGAAGGAAATAAACTTCCCTTTTAAGCTGTGTTAGTCATTAAAGTGCACCTGTGCCCAGACTATGAACATAGTTAAATAATCTTAACAAGCAGTGATTGAGCTTTAAAACAAACCATCCCTGACCTCTCTAGCTGCAAATAATGTGAAGTTATTAATTCTGAAATATCCTCAAAGATCACAACAAAGACTCTGAAGTCGGATTTCATTTGGTTTTCAACAGCTTACATGGGCACTGACATATATTCCAATGCATGGGATTATAGGACATTTATAAAATACATATAAATGCATGTAATGATTTTAAATGTTTAGATGTGTTTATAGAAAATAGAAGACTGCGCTTCCAGGGGCAGATGAGATACTTTGAATGCACTTAAATGCATGAACATGCATGTAAATGCAGGAGAATGTTATCTGGGAAGTATAAAGTTTCTGAATGTAGCCTAAAAAATACCTGCTAGTTGTTTATACTAGGGGGGTGGCAGCCTGCCAAAATCTCTAATCATAGAAAAACGCATTGCCCGTGTTGTGAACTTTTAATGCCTCATTTACACTATCACTTTACATGTTTTGGGGCAATGTGGTGCAATTAATTGCGACTGGAACCCTAATGCACCTTGCCAATGGACATGCGAGAAAGACGACATACCCAGATCGGCTTATTTTGGAGAAGATCAGCAGCAATTAGGTTAAAAAATAACTTATGCAGAATACTGTTTCCCTGTCCTGACATTAAGCAACATCTGTTGAGATCTGCTAACAGCTCTTGGCTCAGCAACATTGTGCAATAATCATCGCTCCTATACAAGTATATTATAGCACACTAAAGCTGCATAAACTGTGATAGAACAATGCTCCTTTATTGTATGTCTGCATATGGTAGCAGAATATATGCACCTTACTTTAACTTTGTACACTGAATATATATTGTGACTTGTGTCGGCTTCAGTTGCCTTTCCCTTTATTTTTCTGTTTACCGCCTTTCTTTTGTTGGTGCTGTTATGAAATGTTATGTAAATTGTAAAATGGAAACTTTAATCTTGGAAAAAAAACCCCTGCATATTCCTGAGATGATAGTCAGATGATTCAATTGCAAAACAACTGTGGCACAGTAATGCACACCTGAATCAACCAGATGCACTTTTGTATACACTGTTTAACAACCCCTGGCATTTGCCTGAACTTCCTACACTGCTACAATTTGACTTCACTATAATGAATGTCACTGCAGAGTCATAATGGCTCCCTGAGTGTTGTTTGAATCCCTTTAACTCTAACCCAACAGTATGCTCTCTAAGAGAGTCAGTATCCAGTAAGGACAATAACATCAACAGAATGACACAGAGGCGGACGTTCAGGCTGATGATTAAAATGTACATGCTATATTAGTGATCGTCAATGACAAGACAACACCAGGGAGAGTTAATAATTGCATTAAGTGGCCCTATACATAAATCCTGAGCCCAGCTGCACAGCCTCTAAAGCAAGGAGGTGCCAACAGACCTTGGGAAACACTGGTATAGCCAACAAGAGAATGTTTAACTGTTCAATATTGTGAAGACAGGTTATAAAAACACAGGTGCCTATTGTGTCCCCCCAGTGAATGCTTTTTTTAAATATAGTTTTAAGAAGAAATCCAAACCTTGGTGGCATTTCTTTGCTGTCCTGTCGAATGCACACTTCATCTCCATCAGGCATGCTTGCAGGCTCAGTCAGGTTAGCTTCAGTTTGCCTTTTTTCTTTCCACTTTTCGGCTTTGTTTCGTAGCTTCTCGTGATCACTGTACCTCTGTATTATGCCAATGCTGGGAACATCTGCATCCTGCGGTGTGTTTTGCGTGTTCTCCTCTAAAGACTGCTTTTGTGAAGCCTGTTGAATATTTAACTGGAGATCTGAGGGCCTTACAGGTTTCCCTACATCAGGATTCCCCATATAAGTCATTTTTACTTTAGCTACTTCTTTCTCTTTGTCTGACTTTTCCTCTTGAGGTACCACAGTAAGCTCGTTCTGAAGTTGTTCTTTAGCACCATCTTCCCCCTTTTCACCCTCAACCAGCGAGGTGGATATATGTTTATTTTGCAGCATGTCATGCATCAGACATCTCTGCCTTCTATTCTCTCTTTCAGTCCTGGCAGAAGTTTTCTCTGAAGGTTTTTCAGTTTTGGGGCTCATTGGTAGCCAAGGATCTTCATTTGATGCAGGGGCATTGTCCTTAACACCCGTTTGTTGTTGTGCATGAGAAATGCCGTCTTCACCTAAATTATCTTCTTTAACTGTCCTATTACGCTCATTCTCTTTTAGTATCCTCTCCTCCTCTTCAGTTGTTTTGAAATTGCTTCCTTCTTTCCTCACTGGCTCTTTGTCCATCTTTTTTTCATTTGTATAATCTTCAGATTTACTGGGTTTTACAGGCTCTATTTTGGAGGCACCTATTTGCCTCATCTTAGCCTGCCTTTTGGCCTCCTCCTCCAATTTTATTTGTTCTTCTCTTTGAGTATTTTCTAACAGAGCTTGCCTCTCCTTTTCAATAGCGTCCTGCTTCCGCTTCTCTTCCTCTGCTTTCCATTTTTCCTCCAGCAAGACTCTGACTCTAGAAAGAAAAGGTTTTGATTACCATGTTAGCATGCCCAGCATAGGATTTTTCACACAGCACCATCACAAAACTTTTCCATGGTCTACTCTTTTGGTGGATAGATTCAATATTACCATCTTAACATATTCTACGTAGTTAGCAATCATATCTTTTAGCCCGGGAGCCTGGATTAAATTCCTAGAAGTGGAGTGTGTGCCCTTATACAATACAAAAAACATACAGATTTGTTAATTACCTTCCACACAAACTGGCCCTAGTTTGTAAGTGTTTGAATGGCTGTGGTAAGGACATTAAATTGTAAGCTTCCTAACGCCAGGTAATTAGGAAAATGGTCTTTTACAATAAAAATTAAAAATATAATTGGAGAAAAAAGTCTTTAAATAAGCATGTACACATGATTCGATGAATAGAAGGGTTCTTTAACCAAATGAAACCAGTGCTACTACCATCACTAAATCTTAACTACGTTTGGAGCTAGTTAAGATGTATTGATTGTTGCTTCATACAAACTACAGGTATGGTCATATATGAAATGAAGGAAGAAGTGCTTATTTAGAAAAGTCATCATTTAAGTTATAAAATATTGGCAGTTTGCACGATTTAAAATTACACAAGCTAAAAATTTTTTTTTCTAATTTAACACCTATAAAATTCCCAGGTGCAGTATCTTTGACATTCAAATCTACGGTAAGATTACATAGCTATACAGAACTTGATTGAGAAACTGAAGAAAACCTTAGTAATACATCTAAAAAGATAAATCTGATGTCAAAAAAAATAAATAAATCAATCGAAGGTGAGATGAAAAAAAAAGTGTTAAAAAGAGGCCATGCATATAATTGATGTGTTTTGTGCTAGATAACATTAAAAAGAAAGCATTCACTGTACTCCCTCTTTTACCTTTGTCTCTGCAGGAATCCTCTGCAATATGCCTGCAATATCTGGATCAACCAGATCTGCTTAACATAGATCTTTCTCTGTACATAACTCTTCCAAGCAGCCTGGATACACACTGCTGCATTCTTCCTAGCCTGCAACCCACATCGCACATGATACGATCTCCAGCAAGCCTGTTAAAAGAGTGAAACCCATATATTAGTGGTGTATCAGTTCTTTATGTAAACACAAATGCAAAACACTTCACAGCACCAACACAGAAGTTAAATCAAAGCTATGCATTTGCAAAACAAAAAAAATAAAGATTTTTTTTTTTTTACTCACCATAAAATCATTTTCTTGGAGTCTACCGAGGAACACAGGAAGTATTTCGCTTTTGGGTTATACTGCCACCTACAGAAGGATTGGGCACTGGCAATCAAGAAAAAAAACAAACTGTGGGCCAGCCTTGCATAACCCCTCCTACTACCAACATGCCTCAGTTTATTAGAAAAGAAAACATAATTATAAATACAAAGCAGCTGGATCTGTGTCCCTCAGTGGACTTCAAGAAAAGGATTTACTGTGGGGACAAAAACCCTTCTTTCCTTCTCATCTACTGAGGGACAAAGGAAGTATTTTAGCCTGAGGATATCCAAAATAAGTCCAGCTGGGGGTAGGTGGGCAACACAGAAACCCCCCCCCCCAAAAAAAACACAACAGGGACTGCCTGAAGCTCAAGCAGCCACCTGAAGGACCTTACACACAACATTTTTTGTATTTACTGTAAGGTAAAAAGCAGAAAATACCTCTGGGCAAGAAGAAAGTCCTAGGCCCCAACACCACTTTGTCCCTATGCAAAACCAGAGCAGATAAGGTCGTTAGTTCAGACGCTCACCTTGCAGAGGTGATGGCTACAAGGAACACTACCTGGTGGGTGAGTGTAGAGCGAGAATGTCTGTATTGGATTTAAAGTGGTTTTTTTTTTAAAGAGAGAACCCAATTTAGATACCATTAAGTCACAGGGGAATAAACAGAGGGAGCTACATGGGAGACTTACTATACAAAGGTTTTAAATCAGTGAATGAGTGGTTAACGGTAATGGAAACCAGACCGGGAGTGCAGAAACCTGACCCTTGATATAGCTGAGAGCCAAAGGCTGTAGACTTTCTAGCTTCAAACACCGCAGGAATCACCGATTGAGATGCCCACCTTTTAGAATGTTTGCTTCAATAGCCATGCCGTTCAAGTCAGCAACCGTGAAGCTGGAAAGTAAATTGTTTCTTGAGACATAAGCTCTGGATGACCTGGAAGAGCACACAAAACTCCCGTCAAGAGTCTTAAGTCGGCCCACTGCAGCCTTGGCTAATCTGGAGTAATGAGGATCACCGGAATATCCTCCATCTGAATCCGCTGGAGTAAAGGAGGAAGTTTCAGTGAAGGAATGGCATAGGGTGTGCCAATATCACAGAGACACCTGAGTTTCCACTGCTTCTGCTATAGGATCCCTATACTTTGAGACAAGCCTGTCTAGTTTATTGTTGAATCAGGGGGCCAGGAGGTCCACATCCAGCATCTTCCTACCAGTGATTACCTCAATTATCTTTTCAGCACATAGTGAACTGGTGCAAAGGAGGGGGATTCCAACCATCAAGTCCATATCTTAAAGAATTGATTAGGGCAGCCCTTATATTGGTAGGCAAGCTTTTCTCTTACCAGGAGGACAGAAGAATGTCCTGGTTGAGGTGAACGGTAGAAACTACCTCTAGGAAGAAGGAAGTCCTAGTCCTCAACAACAGTGGGAGCACAGATAAAAGTATTTGTGGTCTTAAGGGGCTCTAAAGCATTCAAGACTGGTAACGACACTGGTGGAAACAACAGCCCAGTGACCTATATACTTGAGGTAGCTCCCAGTGTGAGGTTTCAGAGACAGGGAAGCACTAAAGTATGACCGGCTGAATATCAGCAGCTCTGGACCTGGAAACCGATCTGTGACGCTTTTTATGAAACCGGTGTCTGAAAAACACCCTATGTAGAACCCAGTGCCTGAAAATAACTTCCAGGCTATCCCTGTAATGTCCAGCGGAGTCTGGATGTGATGTGCCCAAACCCAGGCTTTGTACGTCTGCTTTGTATAGCGGCAATTGGAGAGACCAGCTTTTGCAGCAGCGGAGAGAAGAGTTTTGATTGTAGAAAAGATGTTAAAGAGTAAGAAAAAAGGTACTAGCAAAAATAGGTTCATCTTATACATAGCAGAGCTGAAGAAAAAAATGTTACACTGTTTATGCAGGAATGTAATGTCACACTGCATCCATACAGAGAACAAGGGTCTTTCTCAGAAGCATGATGGCAGAGGACAGGCTTTTCTACTCTGGCTGTGGCTGCTTTCCAAAGAAGAACTGTATTGCACACCTTTTGTTTTGATGCACCTGGAATAAATGTATCTGATTTAAAGTTGTGCTTGAGAGTCCACATGAATGTTACCTGTATAATGACAGCTGCAGATTTCATTCTCAGAAAGTTCCTCCTGTCAACAACCATGCGAAAAAGACTTTGCAGCAGGATAATCTTCTTAATAACAGCCTGGTGAAGGGTGTCCTGCAGCTTTTGCCGTTCTGGCTCCTTCATAAACACCTGAAATTCAACGAGGAAATAAATTAATGCAATGAGCACCAAATAATTTGAGCCATTTGACTTAAAGGAAAGCTATGATATTATATTTTCCAACCTTTGTTTTTCCCAGTTGGTAATTATGTGGGTCTAAGCACAGTCTATTTAGCAGAGATGTGATGTCAGCTTTCAGATCTGTAGATGACTTGGGTAAAAGCACCTGAAACTGGCCTTTGAATTCCTAGTAAATAAAGAAAGCCACACACAATTTTATCCGCAATTGAGAACACAATCAGTAGTAAGTAAGCAATAGGATCTCTCATTTACCTGGTAGGGGTATTTGGCACTATATCCAGATCTCCGAATCCGCACAGTTTCAAGCATTCCTGTGTATCGAAGCTGCTGAAGTACCAGAGCTTCATCAAAGGTCATTTCCATCTAATTAAATTTCAAAAGTGAGATGAATAATGCTTGAAATCTTTCATGATTTTAAAATGCTGATAGTTTGTGAATAGATTGCTCAGAGCCAGTTCACAATAATAAGACCAAAACATCATCACATACAGTGGTTATCAGGGGCTACAGAGAAATCCCATGTCCTTCAGGCAAAAGATTATCCCAAAGGTGTTCAATAGGGCTGAAGTCAGGGCTCTGTGCAGGCCACTAGAGTTCCTCCACACCAAGCTCATCAAAACATGTCTTCATTGACCTGGCTTTGTACCCAGTGGCACATTCATGCTGGGACAAAAACGTTCTCAAACATTTGTCACAAGATTGAGAGCACACAATTGTCTAAAATGTCTTGCTGAAGCATTAGCAATAACCTTCACTGGAAACACCTGAATTTAAAGTGACACTAAACTCAGGAGTTAAATCCTAAAAATGCATGTAAGTACCTTAACTATTAACAAAAATGTATCTTATTTGTGTATCACTCAGCTGTAGATCCTCAAATCATCTCTGAATTGGTGCTGACACTGTCCTTACTTCTGGAGGGTGGCTACTTTTGTTCCCCATGGTCCCTGTGTGTGTTGTTAAGTAGACACCACTCCAAGCTCGCTCTCGTGATGAACTACAATCTCAATACAAATTTCTAGCTTGGAGCGGTGGCTACATTGCAATGCACACAGGGACGAGGAGAACAAAAGTAGCCACCCTCCAGAAGGCAGGGCAGGGTCATCAGGAATTCAGAGATGATTTAAGCATCTACAGCCTAGAGATACACAAACAAGCTACATTTTGGTGATTAGTTAGGGTTCTAGATTCCTTTTTTAAGATTTGAGTTTGAGTTGAGTGCCACTTTAATTTGGAGGGTTAAATTACGCAAAATACAGGCCAAGTGTGTGTGTGTGTGAGATATAGATATATATATATATATATATATACACACACACACACACACACAAGGGGGTTGATTTACTAACCTTATAAACACGCCACGAACAAGTATACACCTCTGTAGTGTGTTCCCTCCCAGCATGATCTATTGGTGGAGTCTAGACACCTTTGTAGTGTGTACACACCCAGCAGGTGTGTTGTGCAAAGCCCTTCATGAATTGCAAGGTGATGTTGTGTAAATTAGCTCTACGTTGTGTTGCTTGCGTTGATGAATGCAGGGATGTAAATGCATGAGCTAACCATTTTTGTCTAAACTGTGAAGCAGCATTATATATGCATCATGTGCATAACTTTTCCATATATGGCATTAGTGGAAATATGCTTTTAGAGACTTGCATGCCGCTATTAGAGCGGCGTGTAGCCTGTGGCGCATGCTACATGGCGCGCACGTACGTAAATACATAAAAACGCGCCATAACGGCGTGAAAATGCGACACGTTGCTCGTGTTTGGTTGATAAATACGTTTTCCTGTGTAAAATGCACACGGACCTGGTCCTTGTGTGTGTGTTTAGGTTAGTAAATCACCCCCAAAGTCTCTCCCTCTATATATAATTGTATATACATACACACAATGTATATCTATCCATCACCAGGTACATACCTTTTCAGAATTTGAGCGAATGCATCTGATGAAGAAAGGTTCAGCTTTTCCTAGTGTTTCTAAAAGCTTGTTTAGCGATGCCTACAAGACAGATATATTTGTAAAAAAAATTACACTCACCGTGATATATTGTGTGTAAAGCCTTTTAAAGCCAAGAAAAAATGTTTCAACTCATTATACATGGGCTTGCACAAAGTAAGCTTTTTTCTTAAATGTTAATGACAAAAATTATTATAACTATAAACCTAATACATATTACATTTTAAAGCAGAACTTTACATAAAAATGTAAAATTGTGAGAACCTGCGGGCTTTTTAAAATTATCTTCAAGGTTTATATTTTTCATTATATACTTAAAAATAACGAGGAAAATAATAAAACATCATGAAAAGAAGACAATACATTGTTTATCAGGACATACCTGAAATTGTGCACTTATACTGGGTGGTTTCTTTTTCTTGTGCAAGTGAAGGAGGGACTTGGTAGTTCGGTCATGAAGAGTCATGCTCATGATTAATTTCAGAGATTGTGAATCAAGCAGGTTCTGCATATACAGTGTAAATTAATGGACAGGGCAGCTTGAGAATCACAATATTTTAGATACTTAAGCTACAGATTACTATATATACTCCACTATAGCTATAATATACATAATATAATGTATTGCAGCACAAAACATTTTGCAATTTAACATTAAACAAGGACCTTTCAATTTAATTCTAAAGCTGGCTATGATTTTATAAACCACCAAAGAGGAAGTATAACTACTCAGGCTGTGGTGGGGGGGGTTTTAAAAAAACAAAATAAAAAGCCCTCAACCATTCAAAAAAACAGACTGTTATCTGTCTCACCTCCATCACAATTAAAAAGAAAAAACAAGGAGTTTGGTTTTTTTTTGCACAATCCCACTCATAAATCGTAAAATAAGAAGAAATAGACCCCTTGTCTTTTGGATTTGTGATGGCAGTCAGAGTTCTTAAAAATCATCTTCTCAG